CATCTACCTACATGACGTATATCTCTAGAAAAACGCCTGCTTGCGCAACCTAGGGCGCGGCTTTTCAAACTACCTACTAACCAAAAAAAAAGGCAAGCAACAAACAACAAAGGGAAATAATTCTATTATTACGTACAAAAAAATATTTTTACGTATTACGGACGGGCGTGATTGTAGATACAAATTAAACCAATCACACCAACGCTCCCTGCCACCAAATTGTTTAATGTTTATCAAACACTATAGTCGGGATCGACCGGGAATCGAACCCGGAATCGCGCTCTGCTACCAGTTTGTTACGGCCTACGGCTGCTCCCTTAAAGGATCCAATCTTCAGGTGCCCATGAGCTGAAGATTTCCCGAACAGACGTAGGTCGGGCCTCAATGTGGCCACGTGGAATCTCTCTAATTACACTAAAATATATGGGGGAGCGTTATACTTCGGCCAGTCGACCGGAAGGAATTTGGACGAAGCTTACTTACCTATATCCAAGGCGACTGGTCCCTCCGGAGTCGGTCAGGTCGCATGTGGTTGTGTAGTGCAAGGGAAAGAATGGTGATGTGGTGTGTATCTGGGTGTGACTGATGGTGATTGAACCTAGACCTTAGCCGTCGGCCAGCAGCCCGGGCGTCGACACCGCTCCAACTTGAGGGGGCCTTCCGAGGCTTTGTCCACATTCACTTTCCTTGTTCGTCACGATAACAGTCACTTAACTCTATCGTACGATTAACTGGCTTACAGAAGCCACTAACTATCGCGGGGTATAAGGTCGATTTACGTTCTCTCCATCGCTTGAAAAATTTTCTCCCCTTTAAGACTAATATTATGCTTGTACAGTTACTTATACTACCTATCATTGATTATGCTGATGTGTGCTACTCGGATTTAAACCAAAATCTTCTTAACAAGCTAGAGCGCCTACTCAACAATTGCGTCAGATACATTTTCAATCTTCGTAAATTTGATCATATCTCTCACTATCGCTCTCGCCTTAAATGGCTCACTATTAAACAGAGGCGTGACTCTAGAATTTTGCTTGTTCTCTTCTCTATCTTAAATGATCCATCCACTCCTTCTTATCTCAAGGAGAAATTTCAGTATATTTCCTCAAAGCATGATAGAACTCTGCGGTCCTCATATAATAATAAACTAAGTATCCCACTACATTTTACTAATTTTGTTGGTAAATCCTTCACCATTCAGGCTGCACTGCTCTGGAACTCCTTACCCGATGACGTCAGAAATACATCTAATAAGACTGCCTTTAAAAGATTGGTTCACAAGCACTTTAATGATAGTTAGTATGGTCAATTTGGTTACCTTTGTTGTTATTCTATTTATAGGTTTATGTTATATATCTATTTGTATTTATAATATGTATATATTTATGTACCTATATATTTGTATGTAAATATAATATATTGTCTGTATTATATTTTATAGTATATAAGTTTATTGTATTTATATATATAATATTAGGCATTAAGTCCGCCCTTTGTAATCCTTTAATTAAGGTGCAATAAAGTGTAAATAAATAAATAAATAAATAAGGTTACCACACAAAACACGCACGGAGTTTCTGGATCAAAGGTCACTACCGTTTCGCGTTGCAACAGTTAGTTCTAGAATACAGAGGCCACACTAGCTAATATTGTCGAATGCACTTATACAGATTCTGAGTCGGACCCTATAAGTCCCGGGGAAGCTCTCCAGTAGGGATACGCGACACAAAATTCCTAGACCGTATTTTTACTGTCCGCGCTTAATTATTCCGAGTTCCCGCGCTTAATTGGCAGCGTGCCAATCGTGAGCACTGCCTAAGGATGACTGACTTTTCGCTCGCGACCCGCGCGCCACTCCATGCTCGGAAGAACTTCAAACCGGTATCGCCCAGAGCCGCACGCCCCCTAGACGTCGATTCCGACAACTGCGTTTTGCGCGAACATAAGCATATAGCTTTTTTTATTTCTTTTAGTTTTTTACGCATCTCGTTAAAAAATAAAATTGCCTGATAGATGTTATTGAAAAATCATTTAAACACTGTCCTCGCTGTCTTCAGTTTAGGCATATTGGGCAAAGTCAAGTCCATCCTTCTTGTGCTTTCTCTCTCTTTAATTTTTTCATCAGATTCATAATGTCGTTAGACAATTGCAATCGAATCCGTACTTTGCATTCTAGTTCGCATATTTTTCACAGGCATTTTAATTGAAAGAGACTCTAGTTTGAACCTGAGACTAAATACTAACTACTGTATGTAATAAGACGAAATATGTCTACGCAACGATTACGCTACGGCAGCGACAAATTACCGTAGCATTTTACGTTCTTGCTACGATATTACGTAGCACGTATTGTTTTGCTACGACGTAGCCATTAAGCGAGAGCGCGAGGGTAAGGAATGTTTTGTTTACAATTGAATGCGTCAACCCTAGTAAAAATATTATAATATAGAATGCCACACATAAATACAATACGGAATACTTCTGTAGGGTGGAGTTCTAAGATCTATGCTTATGATGTTAGTGGATGGAATAAATGGATGATAATATGATATTGAGATCATGAAGCTAATACAAAGGGGAGACGGCATAAGCAACTGTGCACTGTGATTCTAAGTAGGTCCTGACGTCATCATAGTGGGCGTGGCTTTAGTTAGTATACTGTCAGCATTCGTCCTGTGCGCTTATGTGTTGAAAAAATCGCAAATCGGTGTATTTTCGTAGTATTAAGAAGAAAAGGATGAAGTATTGTGTTTTATTGTGTAAAAACTACTCAGATAGACGTTCTGATGGATGGCATCACATTTCATTTGTAAATATTTTTACATCTAATTTATTAAAATAGTTCTAGAAAAAATCTCTTTGCGTCGGCTTTCAAATATAATTAAATATATTCGACACTAGATGGCGACACTTTGTGTCATGTGAACTAAAAATATAAAGGTCCGTAAAGCTCAGTATTGGTAAAATAATCATACGAAGGTGCTGAAATTTGTTTTGCATTCAAACAAAGAAATTTTAATCGCAAAATATTATTTTTATAGTTTATAATCATTTTGAGAACAGGCCATATTCTCGTTAAGTAAACCTTATAAAAATGACAAAAAGACAGGGCCTTAATTAGAATTCAATTATTTTTCCCAGTAATCCAACTTTTAATATTAAATGCAGGAAATTGTACTTAGAAAGAACACACAAAATTTCGCCTTTATAATATTAGTGAGATAAGTAGGATATTTAGTTCCAAATTAAATATCCTACTTAATATTGAACATAGAATATTTAGTTTCAAAGAGGCTTTATTTTATGGATAAAATAAATATTTCTTGAAGGTTGACTTTCACGAAATGATAAACATATTTAAATTGTAATTTAAGTGATTCTTTGCATATGGAATGTCACTTAAATATAACTTAAACATTTCGTAAAAATCAGCCAAGTACAATTTCCTTCATTTTAATATTGAATGTTGGGTTACTGGGTAAAATAATTGAATTCTAATTGCGGCCCTGTCTTTTTATTATTTTTTATGAGGTTTACTTGACGATAGATGGCGGCCTGTTCCCAAAATTATTATGAAAACTTTAAAAATATTATTTTGGAGATTTTAAAAAATATTTTTTAGAAAATTTCTTTGTCTGAATGTATTTGCTTCATGAGATAGACGCTCCGATGCTATGGATGGCATCAGATTTCATTTGTAAGTAATTTTACACCTTATTTATTAAAATAGTTCTAGAAAAATCTCTTTGCGTCGGCTTTCAAATATAATTAAATATATTCCACACTAGATGGCGACACTTTGTGTCCTATGAACTAAAAATATAAAGGTACGTAGAGCTCAGTACTGATAAAATAATCATACGAAGGTGCTGAAATTTGTTTTGCATTCGGACATAAAGAAATTTTAATCGCAAAATATTATTTTTATAGCTTATAACATTTTGTGGACATGCCGCCATCTACCGTCAAGGTAGCTAAGCAACATTGCAACATCGATATGGAAAGATTCGAGTAGTTTTACTATTTATCGGTAGATGTAGATAGTGTAGTGGGCGGGGCTTTGCATCTCCTCACCCCGCAAATTATCACGCGTTGTTACATAGTGAAATTTAATTACAACGTCTCCTCTTTGTATTTGCTTCATGATTGAGATAATCGCTACCAAGCTATTACTGAGATAATTTGTGATGTAATAATTGATTATACAACATAATATTTAATTATAAATTATTAAAAAATAGATCGTTGGGTTTCGTTCTAGTTTTACTCAGTATGAAGATATTTGCCGAACTTTCTCATTCCATAAGAACTGTGCGTGACACAATTTACATATAGTATCATCGTCATCATCATCGCAGCAAGCTATCACAGTCCACCGCTGGACCAAACTTGTAGGCGATAGTTGCGACCACTTTCCTTGTAGGCGATAGTTGCGACCACTTTCCTTGTAGGCGATAGTTGCGACCACTTTCCTTGTAGGCGAAAGTTGCGACCACTTTCCTTGTAGGCGATAGTTGCGACCACTTTCCTTGTAGGCGATAGTTGCGACCACTTTCCTTGTAGGCGATAGTTGCGACCACTTTCCTTGTAGGCGATAGTTGCGACCACTTTCCTTGTAGGCGATAGTTGCGACGCTTGGCACACGGGTTGACAATTGTAGTTTTAATTTTATTTTACACATGAAGAAGATTACATTATATTATAGCTTATCCACTGCTTAACCATATTTTAGGGTTAATAATAGTTGCCAAGCTTGGCGCGTGAATCGGCAACCGCAGTTTTTATAATTTCTACTTGTCAGGAAATGCTGCTGCCTATCTTCTGTTTTGTTTCATGTTACCTTGGGTAGTGGGTACTCTTAAGGTCGCTGCATACAGGACGGAATCAGCACGTGCACGGGACGGAGACGGAACGTGGTTGTATGTCAACACGGACGGGAGTTTAATGCATACGCACCGTGACAGTGACTCGAAACTAACGTGCTAGTGTTGTGAAAGATGAATTTTTCATTTCAAGAATTGGCATTAATTGCTATTGCTTTAGATGATGAAGAAGCTACAACCGTCAAGAGTAAAAGGAGATTTTCTGTACATCCTACGTGGCAGAAAAGAGAACAAGAAGGTGAATACCACACTCTCTACAAAGAACTTTTGGATGACGAGACTCAATTTTATATGTATTTTCGTATGACAAAAGAATGTTTTGCTTTACTGGAAAACAAGCTAAGCCCTCACTTACATAAGAAGGACACTTTTATGAAAAGAGCCATCACATCCCGTGAACGATTGGCTGTATGTTTACGGTAAATAATAAACACTTTATTTTTACATATTTATTTTAAAATTTTGGTATATTAATTCTTTGTACTATCATACTCTCTGAGCTTATACTGCGAGAAGTAAGATTGTATTGACTCTGTTGTCTTTGGTTGTTCAGAAGACTGCGGAGGAGATGACAAAATAACTGGCATTGATGAAGATGAAGGCGAAGGAAATGACATTATAATAGGTGTAGATGGAGACGATGAAATTAAATTTTCAGTCAATTGTTGAAGCTCCAAATCGTGAATTACTTTAAAAATTTGTCCTTTGGCTAAATGTTGATAATAAGGAGAAAATGATTTCAATGTTGGTGCTAGTCCCTTCAAAAATGCGTCCATAGGATGTTCCTCTTCTTCTCTTTCTTTAATTTTGTTTTTATTATTCATAAGAACATATTTCATTAAAATACTTGAAGCAGATTCACTATCGGGGCCAGACATCTTTTTTTTCAAACGCTTAGTCGTCTGAGTCGCTGATAATGGAGAGTCTAGTGGAGACTCAGCTTGTTCATTTGTAGCCGAAGATGTTGCTGGTGACATTGCTGATGACGTAGGGAATGGACTAACTACAACATCATCGTGGTCCTGCAAATTTAACTGCTGATTTATGTCAATTAAATCGTTGCTCATAGATTGTATCTCAGATGATGGAGAAGGTATCGTTTCACTGAATTGTACAAAATTGCTTATAGAATCTCTATCTTCGTCAACACCCTTGAGAAATTGAAGTTGTTCAGAAAACTTATACAGTTTGATTTTCTTTGCAGCTTGGCCAGTAACAGTTTTTTGACTTTTTATATTTTTTTTGTACTGGTCTCTTATATTTGTCCATCTTTGTTTGCAGGAGACCCAATCTAAAAAATTAAAAAATATATTTATTAACAATAAAGTTTAAGTTATATTTTGCTTTTTTTAGATTTTTGGCCACTGGTGACTCACATATGACAATATCATTTAGCTACCGTTTAGGTCATAGCACAGTAAATAAAATTGTCAAAGAGACATGCAAAATTATTGTTGACCAATTAATGAGTGAGGTATTACCCGAGATGACTACGGAAATGTGGAAAGCGGTTGCTGAAGACTTCTGGCTACTGTGGAATTTCCCAAACTGCTTAGGAGCACTAGACGGTAAACATGTAGTGATTGAAGCGCCACCGAACAGCGGATCTTTATTTTTTAATTATAAGTCAACATTTTCTATTGTTTTGTTGGCTCTAGTAGATGCAAAATGCAATTTTATTTACATAAATGTAGGTGCGCAGGGAAAAAATCATGACGCAGGAATTTTTATGACTTCTTCGCTAAAGCAACGTTTAGAGAATGGTACTCTAAATATACCTCAAAACAGAGCTTTACCCGGTACAAACATTGTTGCCCCTTATGTCATCATAGGTGACTCTGCTTTTCCACTAAAAACATACTTGTTACGTCCGTATCCATATAACAGTGGAAACCGCGAATTTGAAGTCTTCAACTATCGCTTAGGTCTCGCTCGTCGCTGCGTAGAAAATGCTTTTGGTATTCTTACTCAGAAATTTAGAATTTACCAAGGAAGAATAAAAATGAATCCAGCATCGGTAGATAATATAATACTAACAACATGTGTATTACACAACTTTATAAGAAAAAATAGTGAAAATGAGGTTAATTCATTTAACTTAGAAAGTTTAGAGGATTCGAGCCTTAACAATTTACGTTCTCAAGGCGGCAGTGCATCTAGTCAAGCATTTCGTGAACGAGAAAAATTCAAAGTTTTTTTCAATTCTCCTGTCGGCATTTCTAGCATGAGTGAATACTAACACCCTTACCCATAAACACACTACCTTCACATTTTAACCCATTGAGTTATATGTACTACGTACTAGAGAAGCCATTCCAAGCAAAAATTGTGTCCTACTCTATGTCTTCGCGCATGCGCGGGAGTAGTAGTCGCGCATGGGCGAAGACTTTAATTTGATATAAAATAAGATATTTATATAAAATAAATATAAGAATTTAATATAAAATATCTTAATTTAATCTAAACAAACATATTATATTTAAAAATAAAATGTAATAATAATTATTTTATGGAATTCACAAATCTTCAATTTACGCAATATTTAGTTTGTATGGATTGCACTACAGTTCAGTTGAACATAGTCTATGTTCGGAATGGCTTCTCTAGTACATAGTACATATAACTCAAACCAAATACTCTGTCAATAAATTGGTTATGTACCTACTTGATTTCTGTTGTATTTAATTCTACTGATGTAATAAATATCGACATTGTAAAACATGAGTCAACTTTATTTACGTACCTGTCTTTTGATTTGCGCATAAAAAATTTCAACTGTTATTGTTACATATTAAGATATATTGTAAACCCATGAAAACAATAAATAAAAAATAAAATTTATATATACTAACCATTTGCAGTAAGTGATAATTCGACTGCAATTTTCCGCCACAGAAAATTTTTATATTTTGTGTCCAAATATTTCGGGTGTGCAAAATTATACAAGCATGGATATGATCGTACACATTCAATTAATTTTTCGTCGTCCATTTTGTTCGGTACGGTACGCGCATCTCTGCGTAGCCAACGGGGAGACTGTGCATACGCAGCGGAACCACGGACGAGACGTGGCGCGCACGGGGCGGGACGGGGCAAACATCGTCGCCGACGATATTTTTCTCGTCCCGTTCATGCCACGTCCCCGTCACGTCCGTGCACCCGTAACGTATGCATTATAACGTACATTTTCTATGAAACGATATTTCCAAAATTTCACGTCCCGCTCCGTCCGGAATAAAACACGTTACGTATGCAGCGACCTTTACAGTACCACTACACGGCGTTATGCAAAATATAAATAAATATTCATCATCTTCATTCATCATTACAGCCCTTCACAAGTCCACTGCTGAACATAGGCCTCCCCCAAATAATGCCACAAAACACGGTCCTGAGCCACCTGCATCCATCGACTTCCTGCATGTCTTACCAGGTCGTCACTCCATCTCGTGGGGGGACGCCCTACACTTCGCCTACCGGTACGAGGCTGCCACTCGAGAACCTTTCTTTCCGATCGGTTGTCGGTTCTTCGAGCTATATGTCACTCTGGTTCTACTGCGGATATCCTCATTCCTAAGTTTATCACGCAGAGAAACTCCGAGCATAGCCCTCTCCATAGCTCGCTGAGCGACCTTGAGCTTCCTCATACGGCCAGCAGTGAAGGACCACGTCTCAGTTCCGTAAGTCATCACTGGCAACACGCACTGGTTGTACAATTTCGTTTTAAGGTTTTGAGGTATGTCTGACGAGAAGATGTGTCGTAGCTTCCCGAACGCTGCCCAGCCGAGTTGAATCCGTCGATTGACCTCTCGGTCGAAGTTGGACTTACCCAGTCGGACTATTTGTCCCAGGTAAACATACTCGTCAACAACTTCGAGCTTAGTGTTCCCAACAACTATCGGCATAGGTGTGACATGGACATTAAACATGATCTTAGTTTTGTCCATGTTCATCTTAAGACCTATCCGTTGGGAAACACTATTGAGGTCATTGAGCATAGTGCTTAGGTCCTCCAGCGATTCTGCCATAAGGACTATATCGTCGGCAAATCGAAGGTGAGTGATGTACTCGCCATTGATGTTGATACCGTATCCTTTCCAGTCCAGAAGCTTGAAAACGTCTTCCAATGCAGCGGTGAAGAGTTTCGGGGATATGACGTCACCCTGTCTTACACCTCTCTGCAATTGGATAGGTTTCGTACTCTGGTTCTGTACTCGGATAGCCATCGTAGCCCTACTGTACAAGCACTTCAACACTTCGATATACCGACAGTCAACTTGGCACCGCTGAAGGGACTGCAGCACCGCCCAAATTTCGACGGAATCAAAGGCTTTCTCATAGTCCACATACGCCAGACATAATGGCAAATTGTACTCTTCGGACTTCTGTACAACTTGCCGAAGGGTATGTATGTGGTCTTTGGTGCTAAAGCCCTTTCGGAAACCGGCTTGTTCGGGAGGCTGGAAGTCGTCAAGTCTGCGCGCGAGACGATTCGTAATGACTCTCGAAAACAGCACGTAGACGCGGCTCAGAAGGGAAATCGGTCTGTAGTTCTTCAAGAGAGCGTTGTCACCTTTCTTGAAGAACAAGACCACCGCACTTCTGCTCCACGCCTCCGGTGTAATGCCACCATGGAGGACGGAATTAAAGAGCTTCTGAAGGACTTCAAGTACCGGTCTTCCACCCGCTTTCAGAAGCTCCGCTGTAATTCCATCCTCGCCTGGGGCCTTACCGTTTTTAAGGTGCTGGAGAGCCATTCTAATCTCGCTCAGACTGACGTCCGGGATATCTTCGGAATAGTGTCGGATGAGACTCGCTCTTGGATCGTTACTCACACTTGCGTGTGGCTCCAACGATGATGTGTACAGCTGCCCATAGAACCTCTCAATCTCACTCAAAATCTCAGGTGTCCCGGAAACGATGCTGCCACACTCTGTCTTCAGCTTTGACAGTTGGCTCTTTCTGGCAGACAGATCTCTGGAAAAGACTTTGGAGCCTTGGTTCCGCTCGATCGCTTCTTCAATACGAGCTGTATTGAAGTTGCGTAAGTCCCGCCGCATGCATTTGGAGATCTGTCTGTTCAGATGCCTGTATGCTGTCAAGTCTGTTGAAGAATGTAGCTTCATCTCCCGTCTAACAGCCATGAGATTAAGAGTGTGATCGGAGAGTTTTTGTGTTCTTCTGCGGCGGGTCTTGCAGAACTTAGCTCCAACCGCATGGACAGTTTCCACGAGCTTGTCATTCATATCGTCCACTTCATTGCAGTCTTCTAGGCACTGAAAACGGTTTTGTAACTCGAGCTGAAAGGTTTCGGGACTTTGAAACAGAGCACGAGGGGGACGGAGCGTTGACTTCATTAGACGAGACCTCTCCAACTTAACGTTTAGGTTCAGTGTGCCTCTAACCATTCGGTGATCGCTACCAGTTTTCACCCTCGCGATCACGGAGACATCACTGAACAGTTGTCGTCTGGTCGTCATAATGAAGTCAATCTCATTTTTTGTGGAACCGTCGGGGCTCGACCAGGTCCACTTCCTGTGGGGCCGCTTCTGGAAGAAAGAGTTCATCATAAAGAGTCCCTCTTTCTCCATGAAGTCGGCCAGCTGCTGGCCCCTTGGGTTCCGTTGCCCTATTCCAAATTTCCCTACTTTCAGCTCACCGTTCTCTCTTGTGCCTAGTTTTGCATTGAAGTCTCCCATTAACACCGTATATTGGGTTTTGGAGGAATGCATGGCTCTAGAGATATCCTCATACATTTCCTCCACCTCCTCATCGGGGTGTGCCGAGGTTGGTGCGTAGACCTGTATGACCTTCAGCGAATACCGTTTGGTGATTCTGAGTATAAGGTACGCAACCCTCGTCGACACACTCCCGATTTTTACAACGTTGTTAACGAGAGACTTGTGGACGATAAATCCGACACCTCCTTGGGACAGATGGTCGCCCTCCCGGTGATAGAGCAAGTTGCCGGATTCGAGGATTACCGTGACCTCCCCCTCTCTTCGGACTTCAGATAATCCTATAATATGCCAGCGCAACTTGTCTATCTCTTCTTCCAGCTCCACGATCTTCTCGTCAGTCCTCAGGGTGCGTGCGTTGTACGTTGCCAGGTCGAGTCGTCTAAGGTGGCAACCGAACCTCCACCGGAGATTCTTAGCACCCCCTGCCCCGCCGTTACCATGGTCGCCACCGTAGCCAGGAATAGCGGGGCCGCCGGGGACTGGGGGCCGTTTTTTTGTTGCTCTCATCATTGGGGGGTATTTGCCATAGTTGCCACGCTTGGCGAGCGGGTTGGCAACCGCAGTTTTTTTATTGTCATTTGGCTATTATCAGGAAGATGCTGCTGCCCATCTCCTGGCTGTTTCCCTTTGTCGCCTTTTACGACACCCACGGGAGGATATGGGGTAGTGGATATTCTTGACCGCCACTACACGGCAAATAAATATTATTAATATTTAATTTAATGGAGTAACAAATATATTCTCACTTTCGCTCGTTCTTTCATTCCCTTTTAATGAAAATGTGTTTACCCTTGTCCCGTAAACGAACGTTATAAAAAGTCTTTAGAAATGAGAAATGCTTTTGTTTCATTTTAACATAACCGTCAAAACTTCTCGCTCCGAAAAGCAGCACATTTTAACCAATTGTATAAGTACCTGTTTAGAATTGAACGATGTTTTCATTTTGAAAAGACATATTCGCCTCTATTTTTCAAAAGACTTTGTGCCTTAACCTCTTTGGATAAGAGATTTCATTTGCTTAACATTTTTTTGTTATGATTAGAAGTCATAATTTAAATAAATATTTCTATTATTGTAGTTTTATTAATTTTAACCTTATATTTTTCGCTTTTAGGCAAAATGATTAATGTATGCGTTTTAGAATAGAAAGATAACAACATTTTATATTTTAGATAAAATTTATGGCGGCTTCCAAATGTAAAATGTCAAAACGCATGCGTCCTTACTGGAGCTTCGGACGTGATACCTGGAAAGTACTATGAGCAACTGAAATGAATATAATATAAAATAGAGGCCAAAGTGAATATATTAATTTCCTTAAATTTTTGTTGCAGCGACCTTTTAGGTTTTAAATCATAAATTGCTCTTACGAGTATGGCTTTCTTCTGTAAAACAAATATAATTTCAGTTTCAGCCGCGTATCCCCAGTACACCAGCTACAGTTTGCAGTTATGATCAAGCAAACGAAAAGCCATTAGGGAAAGTGATACGGGAGGTAGTAAATCAGTTAAAGTTTCGATATCGCATTTTAAAAAAAAATTCTGAACAATTAATATTTTATTTCAAGATCCTTCAGTGTTCACCCTAATAGTAACAAAAAAGGGAAATATACAATCCACCGGTCCAGTGACGTCAAGACCGGGACCATTCCTTAAGGACCTGCAATCTTAGTCGTCGACCCTTTCTTTTGAGAGGGGACGGAGTTCTGAGTTGAAACTTTTACACAGGGGTCACGCCCACCTCGTTGTTCCCGAACCCGACATGGTGTGGTATTGGTCTGTGAACAGAAGATCAATGATTGGTTGATTTCTTGTTCAGGGCGCGAGACGAAGACCCGTCGACTGTTTTAAATTGGTTTGTTTCGATTGGTTCGAACTCGGGACCTTATGATCAGCTGTCGCGTTTACAAGCACTAGAGCAACGAGGCAGTCAACAAAAGAGTTATTGCATGCCTTAAGGGCATCGCACATCGCACGTAGGTATGCTCTACTAGCGTCTAAAAATCATGATTCCAAGGTTTTGTCGCATAAAATCGAATCTCACAATCATATTGAACAAAATAAATGATACAAAAAGCATATTGTCAGAAAGATAAATGATTGTTGAACTTATTCATATTTTTTAATCAATTTTTTAATATAAATGAATACATGATTGACAATAACCCTTGGGAATGAGGTAGTCGCTATCAAGAGGTTTCATAAATAAGGTTTGTAATTAGTTTTTTCAAGCTGTATTTTTATTGCGTTATACATTAAAAAAAAGACTTGCTTGGTTTTTTATGGCACTTCCCAGGATAGGCGATTTGTAAAAAGATAATTTTAAAGAATTACTTGTAATCTATATTGAATCAAAATTATGCCATTCTATTCTATTATCTTGTGTGTGTACTTAGCCTCAGCTTCTGCACCCTTATATCATACGTTTTAAATGAATTAAATACTTAATTAATAAAAGGTATGGATTAAACCTGAAAATAAACCGAGTCGGTGTAAACACAGCTCATAAACCTACTACTATAGGCGAGTAAAATCGGTAATACGTTTTATGGATTGGCGATACAGTTTCTGAAGTTGTAGGTAAAGCTGCAGTGTTCGAATCCGACAGCGACAGAGCTGCCGATGCGCTGGTGCGGAGTGCTCGTGTTCGCGCCAGCCCAACCTCCCACAACCACCTGTTCCGCCCTCGCGGAAAACATAACTGTGTTTGTCTTAACCGGTTTTACATAGAAAGAGTTTACTGTGAATTTGTAATTCAATCATTCATAATAAGACAACCGATTCAATAATTGATTGTAACCGCGAGACGTTGTTCTGTTTTGTTATGAATTATTTAAACTTGAATTAAAATTGTATTATATTTAATTTATTGATTTTTATTGAGGATAGTATGGTTGCGAGTTTTTGCAGCAAATCATTAACATTTGAATTAAAATACAAATGCGTTCTCACCCCCTAGGGATGAAGATGGAATGCCTCGTTACCAGTTGAAGGAGTCTCCAGTACTCTGCCATACGACACACAGTCACATTATTCTGCGAGAGCGTGGTCCTTGCCCGTTCGAGCCGAAATTATTGTTGCAATCACAATATAGTTGCTCTTGTTATGAAATAAAATTAAAAAGTAATAAAATGTTTAGTTCGCGGAGTTACGTACGCATATCGCTTTTTATGACGTTTTAGCTGTGTAGCGCATTTAACCGTTTTAGCTGTGGTCAAGAAATGTCTGCTTACAGTTTTCTTACCAAGTCATTGTTTTATCGAAAAATACTTTTTAATAAATTAAAACTATAACTTACGGGTGAAATCACGCAGTATATGTCTATATACTGTATGGTCTTATATACAGTATGGTCTAGGTAGCTATGGTCGTACATTTAATACTTATTTAAACAAAATATATAACTTCCAGATAAGAATCCTTAAAAACATTGTAACAGACAAGATTCGACGTCAATTTCATGATGACGATAGTATGCTCTTTAAGCACTGCAATATACTACCAGTTCATACACAAGTCAAATATTTACTTTTAAAAAAACACTTTTTTAATGAAAAGTTAAAATTAGAAATGAAGCACCCCGTGTGTACGCGCGCCGTAAGCAGCCGCAAGCTGCAGACGAGCCAGGCAAACAATATGTACGGGGAACGAACAGCAAGTTACATTGTTCCACGACTTATAAACAAGCTACCCCCAGATTTCCGCGATAACTTAAATATCAAAAACATTAAAAAAAAACTTAAAATGTACTTTTTATGTAATTTATAAAAAAAATTACTACTTGAAACAGCGTATATGCGTTTGCTCAGGTCCTAATTAGGCTGTAATGTTTCCTTTTTACAAACTATATTAATTATACTTAATGTAACGTCTACTCTGGTCGCGTCATCACAAACCTTAGTGGTTTTCTGTATGCGACTTTTTAGTATAGTTTTTTGTAATGCTTTGTAATATGGTAAATAAATTAAAAAAAAAAAATATATCAATTTTATTTATTTGTATACATTATGAATTACATGAAATAAAGTCACTGATATATTTAATGAATTAAATTATAAAAATATGTATATAGTATATACGAGTAAATGTAATTGATTTCTCCGAAAAGGCTCTCAGGGTTTGTATAAAATTTTGTGCTTACCCGTAGATAATGGTTTACTTTACAAGTAACAAATATATAGTTTTCGGGAATTATACATATCAAGAAAAAGATAGGTGTAAAGTACAATATATTAAACTAATACTCTGCTACATAACGAGAAAAACCTTTTAAATGACTCCAATATCAAGGAACTTTCCCGAGAACAATATATTGGTTTTTGTACCCTGAGCAATGATCAGTTACCTAGGTACTGCAATATAATGCCAATTTACGGGACAAAGTAATCATATACATAAACAAAATAAATAATTTTAGCAATATTTATTACAGTAAAAACATCATAGATTCTCATTCCCCGCAATATAGCGCCAAGAAACATTTTGAAAATGAAAAAAAATATACTTGGCGTTAGTCCAAGCTATTAGCAGAGAGCTAATCTCAGCTTGTTGAAACAGGTGTGCCTCTAAGCTGCAGCTTGCCAAATAAACTGTATTTATTTCCGGGGATTTCCTTAACTTGTAATTAAAGTCTGTAGGAACTCTATCTTTTGTTATCTTGTAGCTGTTATCGATAGTTTATGAATGAAACAATATAAAATTTGAACTGTGTTCATATTTGGTTCTTAGTTGATACTCGCGTAGACACTTTGGCAGCGTTTCATTTCAGTGCTATCGCGTTTCGGAGCCGGGGCGACATCACAGGCAACTGAATTAAGTAAGTGGCGCAAGTATGAGTCTCTGAGAGATGACTACATATTTGTGCCATTTGCTGTAGAGACTATCGGTCTGTAGAGTCCATGTACGATGAAGTTCCTAAAAGAACGGTTCTTTTATCGCTCAAAAGTTAAGTACAGTCATTCAGCGAGGAAATGCAGCCAGAGTTCATGGATCTATGCCGCGGGGAATTGGAGTGTGTTTGAATGTTATGATATTAAAGAAATAATTAAATTGTAAATTATTATACTTAAGGGATGGTTTCTTATAAATTCGAAGAAAACATTTTACTCCTGACGGCGGAAAAATGGGGGATGAGTTTAACAATATAACTTTAAACAATATAAAAATAGCAATCTGTGAAGGAAGCCTTACAGTATAAAGAAATATTAATTATTTTTACGTAATTAATTGTACGTGGTAGAGCCATGCTGCAGCTGTATTATAAGCACCACGCTCTCACACATATCAGCGTAAAGGAGCTTAATACTGTTGTGTTTTTTATGGTGAGTGTAGAGAACTGGAGACACTTTTTACTGGTTAAGAGGCATTCCATCTTAGTATTCATGGGTGAATACGCTTCTGCGTATTGATTCTTAATCGAGGATAAATGTGGATGTCTATAGGCCACAGTATCCACTTACCGTCAGGTGGACTGTTCACTCGTTTGTCAATTTTATTTAACATTTTTGTTCTCCGAAACTTTTACGGTAATTCAAAATCCATTTCTAAACAAAGAGTCCCTCAGGGAAAGGTCCCCTTTTATTGCTTTTGGCCGGACGAAGCAATAACATTCGAATTGTTTTTATTGGCTTCTTTTTATTTGATTACTTGCGTGTAAAGAGGTTTCGATCAAGATTCAGGGCTGCTGCGCTACGTCACTGTAATGTGTTTCTGTAAATATGTGTTTATTCTTGCAACTTAATACTTGTTTTTTTTAAAACTCTATTAGCAATTTTATTATGGAATGAAGAGTGACCAACGAGCAACGTCCTCCTGATGGTAAGTGGATGCTGGACTCCATATATACATATGTCACCGATTAAGCATCAAAACCGGTTATTATACTCATATAAATAAAATTAAAGTGTTTCTCTGTAATATATTGAATAACCATTTCCAAAATTATTGTCTGTCTGTTTATCTGTTCGGGCCAAACTTCGGATCAACCGATTGTAATAAAACTTTGCACAAAGATAGCTAGCACTGCCAGCGGAGATCCAGGCTATGTTTTGTTCGAAAAACTTAAAGAATTTTTGTGAAATCGAAGAATTGATAAAATAAACATTATATGATGATTATCTTAAACTTAAATAACGTTACATTAATGGATCAAACCCGAGTATATCCAGGACGGGTTGCTAGTAGTATAATATATGCTTAACATGTGTTATTGTAACAATATTTTTTTTTGCAATATATATTTTTTGATTATTTTTTAATTATGAAAGCAATTTTTTTGTATTGTAAGAGAATTTCTTCGCTGTTCATGTTCGCTCATCATGTTCTTCGAGAAAATAACCACTTTCTTATCACTTTATCAGTGTCATACTTGAACAAGTAAAAGTGAAAGTGCTAGTCCCGTACTTTGTGAAGATTTTGAAGGATACACCTAATCGGAAATGAGTATGTATTTTGTGTGCATATGCATATGTGGCAGTGATGTGCAGTCTATATAATTCCCTTTGCTGGGTACAGGACTCTTCTCACTTCTAAGTAACTCAGTTATTGATCAGTCCGCCGCACTGCCGCAGCGCCTGTTTGCCAAATTTGCGTTGATATATTTTATTCCTCAGACGTGTAGGTTTCCTAACGATATTTCCTTCATCGCAACTTGGGTTTGATCTCTCCCGGCACCAAGAACATTGTGTGTTGTGAATGTAATATGTGCTGTAGCACGTGCTCAGTGTTAAAGGAAAACGTCGGAGGAAAACTGCATTTTAAACTATAAAGGAAATAAAAGAAATATTCCGTAGATATATGTGAGGTCTGCCAACATGTATTGGGTAGACGCTTCCTTACTCAAAAAATCTAACTAAATCTACGTAATAACAATTATAATAATGGCTTTCCAACTGAACTTTGGTTTTACAGGACTGACAGGATTATATTGCAGAGCGTGAGTGCAGACAGGTGTAGGAGCGTGTCTAAACACAGATGTACTCTCTATTCCCTCACTCTTGTGGTCCGACTAGAGAGCAGTGCGGTACGACCGGAGAGAGATCAGGCACATGCGGACAGTTTCTTTAAAGAAAAACCCAATTGTTTTTGACCCCACCAGGGGTTCAACCTGGGACCAGATAATCTATAGTCGCACTTACAATCCTACGAAACTAACTAGTCAGTGTGTAGATTACACTATATAGGCTGTAACTTTGCTGTGTGTTGCTGGTAGAGGAAGAGTGCGAGGAGAGCACGAGCCTCCCAGTGCCTTACCGGCCCGAGCCGCCCGCTGCCCTGGCGCGCGCCTCCCGGTTCTCTCCGCACGAGATCAAGCTCATGTACCGCGGCTTTAAACAGGTCAGCTAGCTTACTTTTAAATTAAAGGTTACAATCGCACTTACAGTCCACCTGAAGATAACTTGTAATTGTAGTCCATAGACATCTGCCAACAACTTAATGTAAAAAAGGCTCAGGTACATGGTCATGTCTGAGACAGAATGCCTCACAGTCTGTAGTTATAATGGCAGAAATAAGTATAAGGATGCTATCAGAAATAAGAATGTTGTGGTCCATAAACAGCTATATCTATCTTCGTTTATGATTCTATAATGTATTTTGTTGTGTAACTGTTATGAAATAAAATGAAAACTACTTGAAATTAAATGAAAACTAATGTGGCTCCTCGGTCCGGAGAAGAAACGGCAAAAGAAACTCCGCAGGAACCCTCTTTTTGTCTTTTTCAAAAGCCCATTATGTAATATTTTTAATCAGAATTGAAAAGGAATAGACCCATAGGTAAGAACCCTGTTCGTTGCCAGAATTAAGGAAAAATTGATTTTTGGGCCTTTGTCAGGCCAGGAGCCTATGCCCTACGTGATCTTAGAACAAATATATAATTCGAAAGAAGCACAAACATACCAAACTCAACTTAAGGCTTTAACTAGCCTGAATGACCTTGACGAAACAGCGATCGCAGAGATTTTAGCCGATGTCAACACCGTCTAGCAACTACGTTCTGTATTACTTATAAAAGTGCAAAGATTAATAGACTGTAGAGATGACAATTATATAAGTGACATACTGCCTGTTATGCTTGCGCATCACTGAGAATTATGTCGCGGTTACGCATCTTCAATTACATTGCACGGTGTGGTGCTGTAGCTTTGTCCGGTAGGCATCACGAGCTATCAAGTGTTCAAGTTTCAAGTACGTAAGAATTTTTATTATATATGTTAAATCGTATTTATTTGTATCGTATTAGTAGATCTGGGTCAAAGCGTTCGCTGTAAATATTTTCCCGGGTTTGATCCCCGACAGCACGAATGAAATTTGTAATTGCAATTTTCGTCAACACGCATTGGGGAAGCACGGCGGGCATTTCCTTGCCCTAAAACCCACTCAGAAATAAAAAAAAGAGTCCTGTGCCCAGTAGAGGGACTTGTATAGCCTATTACTTTACTTTGTAGCAATATTTATATTCGTTTCAGATATAGAAGGGTACCTTATGCTGACGAAAATATCATGTGGAGGCGACGTAAAACATCTTTGTACCTAGATAAAACGTTCGAAAGATTGTCAGTCATGTCATACGCCACATTTTCTATAGAGCGTAGAACATTGCAGATAGGGCAAAATAAAAAATAATCCAATATATTATGGGAACTATTTATTAATAATATATACATTTATAGGTATTTATAATAAAAATAATGAACAAGCTGCAAGGTTCAACTAATAATGTTTTTTGTAAACACAATCGTAAAATTCCTGTTTTAATTTTTACCAATGGTTAATTGATGAAACGTAGTCCAGATCACTTCATATAAAATATATTTAATTAAAATTGACACGTGACCTATTTGGCCTTCTACTTACAACTCAGCGGAAATTTGAAAAGAAATTTTGTCTTTTCACACAAGTATTGTTTACAACTGGCGTGGTTTCGAAAAGCGTGATTAAGTGTCAGCGGTATATAATCAATTAAATATTGAACTTTTTTGAAATTTGTTTTTTTGTTTATTTTTGTTATATCTTCTTAAAAACTGACGCCATTTCACTATTTTATTATTTGTTTTTTTTGTACGCATAAGGATAAGTTAGACTAAGTTAGATTAACTTGGACAAGTTTATATATTTTTTAATATTATCACAAAATTTCCGCAATAAATTATTACCTTTTCTACAGTGATTCTCTCCTCTTAGTTTCGGCGTGACTGTAGGATGTTATAGTGAGTCACCGTCAGTTACTAAGCGGCCATAAATCATTATATGTATGTATAGACATACATATGTACATTTTTTGATTTTAATATTTATGTTTTTTGAATTGTGATTGATTTTTTGAGACCTGGTAAAATTATTTTTTTCCATACCAATTGATGGGCCTGAGTATAATGCCAGTTATGCTCTTTGGCTGAAGTTATTTTTTATTATATGCTCAATTGCAGACAAAACAATATTGATTGCGCATTTCTAAAACAAAATTTTACCTCTTCTCCTTCTTATAATAGCTCCTGCACCTAACACGGCGGAATAGTTATTATTATCTATAAGACCATTTGCGAAAACAGTTTTTGTTAACAGTTATGAGTGTAACATTTTATCAGCTGCTTTGTTTATAGTGCCTTGAGCAACACTTTGCCGGTTTCTGTACAGAAAATGATGCTGGCTTTGCCAATACGGATGGCCGCTACCATTGAATATAATACCCGCTATGTTACAGTTATTTACATAGAAACTTTAATTACCATTTGCATAAAATTCTAAATAGCACTTTTTACACAAGAAAGTAAACTTTTAGATCAGTCCATTTTGTTTTTCACTAATTAAGTAAAAAGTAAAACAAACCAATAGGGCCGGGAATTAAAATTTCTTGCAATTTTTTATATAAAAGCATGACCTTATCATAATATAAAAGTCAATCATTTAGCCATGTGATAAAACTTTTAAGTGTGCCAGTCAAACATTAATGATGATATTCGGGTCATTATGCTGGAAATAGTCTTTTAAATATTTTGTAGTACAATTGATAATCTTCAGTATGATTGACCGTGTATATGACTTTTATAAGTCTATGTTATTTTTGATGAAAATTATTATTGCAGATAAAAGCCCTTTCACATTTATTTTAGTCTCGAATTAAATTAATCAAAATGAAAATAATAACATTGGCTCTTTATAACTGATCTTTAAATCTAAAACACTGACTTGAAATTATATAATTATTAGCATTTTTTTTAATTCAATGAACTTTTTTAAGATTTTGTTGAAACTCTACTGGTAAAAAAAAACAAATATATATATTATAAAAAAAACAAATATAATATATATATATTATAGTTCTTGATGAAAATAATGTATGCGCGTTACATCGCATCCCATCAAGAATTTCTAATGTAATTCTTGGTGTAAAGCTAAGACGTGATAATAACTGTAAACAATAGAATAACAAAATAATGAAAACATTTACATTTACATACAAAACATTTACAAAAATACTTGCTTTATAACCTAATAAATATTATTTGACCGTAATAAAATAAAACAAGGTAGTCTTGGGCATGAAAGTAAAAATAAATATTTTCGATTATTTTTGCAATATCTAACAGCCGGATCAGCGGGCGATTCTGATCCATCTAAAGGTGCTAAATTTCAGCAAGCACTGTCAAATTCAATAGGAGTGACAGAAAAACGGTTCTTGATATAGAAAGGTAAATAAATTATTTAACCTATAAAGTAAAATCACTTTATTACAAATCAAAATAGCCCAATAGCTTTATTAACATGAGACATAATTGTACGAGTGCTTAACATTATTTTACTGAAATCTCAGAAAGTTTTTTTTTAAATAGAATAAGGGTGACAAACGAGCACACAGTCCACCTGATGGTAAGTGGTTGCTACGGCCCATACACATCTACATCTATTCTCGATTACGTATCAAAATGTAGATGCGTTGTCACCCGTGAGGACTAAGATGTAATGCCTCGTTTCCAGTAAAAAGGTTCTTCGGTTCTCTACACTCACCATACGAAACACAGCAGGGTTAAACTGCTATTTTACATGTTATTCCGTGAGAGCGTGGCCCTTCCCCGGTCGAGCCGACCTATTCGTGCTACAACTATACCTAATAAATATAGCTATAGCATGGCTCTACCACGTAAAAAAAAATTGACGTTGAAAATTGAAGTATTTTTGGAAGCAACTTTGCAATTATTTTCTATTGAGTTAATTTTTGTGGAATCGTGTTTTGCAAACCGCCACCTAAAATACGTACAATTTTTTTTCGATAATGACGTGAAATTACAAAACGATCCCCATGCATTTCAATGTGGCTCTATTTAGCCTCTTAATATGAACATACCTCGGAAGATATAATATTATATTATTACTGTTCCGTGTGAGGCAACCTTTATACTTATATACATATTCTCATCATATTTTTATGGTTGGTTAGAAAAATTATATCTAAATGCAAACTTTCACAGGGTCAATTTTTTTTTACTATTTTTACCTAGCAAGTAGTAAAGCAACTACAATTCCATCGGTAAGTGGTTATGTAGTCTAAGATGGTGAATTGCACTGACTTAACAAAAACCTATTCACTCTTGCCTAATAGTACTAGGTAAGTATTATTTGCGACCTATTTGTGTGTGTGTGTATGTGTGTGAGTGCGCGCGTGCGTGCATGCGCGCATATGCGTGTGTGTGTGTGTGTGTGTGTGTGTGTGTGTGTGTGTGTGTGTGTGTATTTGTGAAGAAAAGTGTATGAGAATACGTGTAGAGGAATAAAGGTTGAGTACTAATTCGCTTACCTGTACGAGGTTGCCACTCGAGGACCTTTCTTCCTATTTTTTATATGTTTTCCAAGTTATATAGCCCGCCCATTGCCATTTCACTGTAATATTCCGTTGAGCTATGTCAGTTACTCTGATTCTAATGCAAATACCTTCATTTCTAACTTTATCACGTAGAGAAACCCCTCTCCAATTTAACATTTTTACATTTTTTAGATGATAGTTTGTCTAACATAAAAAAAACCATAAACCCAAGAATGTCTTTATATAGTTATTTATACTTAGGTAAGCACCATTCTTTTATTTATTTAAATTGTTTGATTTAATTTGATAACAGTGTACCTAAATGTAAGTATCTGTATCTTTATTTCTCTCCCCAATAATATTTTATAAAGTCACACTTATAAAAACAGCGTTTTATTGTAATACATAATTATAAAATTCATTATCAACTAATTAATAAAAATATGCAACAATAAAATTACATAGGTATTAAAAACGATCGAAATCTAAGTAACGAGAACATGTTCGTCGTTCCACATCTAAATTATATAAAAATGCATTTTTCAATTTCACTAATCAACGTCGCCGCAAAAATTTCTTCTTCTTTGGGCACTTTAAAAATTCATTTATTTAGAAAATAATATTTACAGTTACCAGTGTACAGATATTAACTAAATTAAGTATTTCTAGTCATAAAAATATTTATAATTGAGTATAAACTTTTAAAAAACTAATATATATTTGAACGAAGTCGCTCCAACACCGACGTGCGGTCCATCCTCGACGATGTCCGAAAACGGACTGTGACAGAGCTTACATGGCGACGGAGCATGCGCGCTCGCGTAAATATATTCAATTTCAGGGAAAAATGATATATTCTCTTATAAAACGGGTAATAAAAATAAAACTCTCAATTAAAAATATTAATATTTTTAAGACCTTTTTTTTAATGTAAGAACTATTTAAAAAGCTTGTGCCGTTTTGGAGAAATTTTGCAAAATATGACAAAGATAGGTACTCTTTGGGGATTTTTTTTCTAATAAGGGGTTGACAAAAATACAATTTTGTTAAATTAAAAACATCTACCAAATCTTCTTCTGTTACCTTGTATTTTTTCTTTGTGGATTAAATGAACAGTTATTGAGATTTTTTTACTTAAATATCCTAGATTTAGGCATTTCAACCACTGTTAAGGCCTTAAAGAGAGAACTTTTAAAAAACATTAACTAAACTTAGCAGGCGAGTTGGCAGCCGCAGCTTTTTTTTCCAGGTATTATTAAAAAGACGCAGCTGGCATTCTTCTTGGTTGTTTTCCCTCCTCGCCTCTTACGTCACCTACGGGACTATATTACGTCAACCACGGCACTATATATCCTACACCGCCACTACAGGTAATTTATTTAATATATTAATTTATATAATATATAATAATTAATAAATAAATAAATTTATATAAAATTAATATTTGTCGTTGACAGGAGTGCCCGACAGGAATGGTGGATGAAGAGTCCTTCAAGAACATATTCTCACAGTTCTTCCACCTCGGAGGTGAGTAATACTTGAATCTACATCGGATTTAATGTTTAGACTTCTTACATCCACGCGAATACTAGACAGTTCCGTAGTTGACGGTTCCGTAGAGGAGTGGCTTAGCCATGAGTTGAGGCGCTGAGTGTCGCGGGTTTAAATGTATGCACGTTTCTATGTTTGTATATTTGTATGGTCTATTAAAGTTTGTTCCGAATCTGAATGTTTGTTCTTGTGTATGTTAACTGCCTAAACAATACAGGAGAAAATGCTAGTTGAGATTGTTTTTTTTAAGCAATAAAAAAATAAAAAGCCAAGAAACTCCACAGGTATCTCTTTTCATAGATGACTAATATATACGTAGAGACTCATAACTTGATAACTAGTGCTCGATAGCAGTAGAGATCACTAAAAGGCCTATGATACAATATTCTTGATCAAAGATGAAAATGAAGTATTTATTAAGTAGACAAGTGAGCGTAATGTTTTCGCCTACAAACCTATTTATATGATATATACTTTAAGTGTTATAGTTTGTTATAATATTAGTGTGTGTTTTTTACTTTTAAATAAACTAAGCAATATTACAGGATATATAATCCTCTATCGCATATATATATATATATACGCGATAGAGGATTTTATTAACAAATAATTACAACATGTACAATTTTATACACGTACAAATTTATATCATAATATGCTAAGACTACTCAGCAACAACTGTCAGTGTGTGCGTGAGCTTTGTTAACGCGGTCGCTGGGGTACTGTGTTGCAATATTCAGAACTGAACACTTAGTTTAAAGAACTTAGTGAAATCTTGAGCTTGCTTATACGGCTAGCAGTGAAACCATTTCTCAGATCCATATGTCATCACTAGCTGTACACACTGGTTGTAAAATCTCGTTATCAAGTTTTTAGGTATACGTGACGAGAAGGTAAGCCTTCGAGATATTAAGTTTCAAGTACCTGTACTTTAAATTACATAGTAATTAAAATTGAATTATTTAAAAATATTTGCATAACAAAATAATATTCAAACTTAAGGACAATTTTTTTATATAAGAGGGGTCAAACGAGCATGCGGCTCACCTAATGGTAAGTGACTATCGTACCCCGTGAACAACTGCAACACCAGGGGAATTGCAGGTGCGTTGCCGTCTTTTAAAAAAAGTAGGCTCTTTCTTAAAGTATTCCAACATTGTTAACATCTTAGTATAAAATCATGTTTCAAGCAAATAAATATATTTCATTTTCATTTTAGTGAAAGTATAAACCTAACTCTATTTGTCACTTAATATGAAATGTTCAAGCTACCGCGAAGCGATTGCGGGTTATTAAAAAGAATGTCCTCTAGACTGAACACTGCGGTCACAGCGGCCCATCTCGTAAGCATAGAATAGAATAAGTTTTATTTAATAGAGATTACAAGTGATTCTTATTGAAAGTAATTTCAATAAGAATCACTTGTAATCATTGGTCCGATAAAAATCTCTGTCCTGGACCAATCAGTAAGAAACTGGGTGGGACTTTTTTTCAAAGTAAGTCTACACAAACAAATAAACTTGAAGTTTCTGTTTGTAATGTCAAAATAAGCTTTATATAAAATGCATGTGAATGTATACACGGTACTTATAACAAGAAGACAATTTTTAAAATTATTGTCTATCTGTCTGTATGTTTGTTCCGGCTAATCTCTGGAATAGCTGGACCGATTTTGACGGAACTTTCACTGGCAGCTAGCTGATTATATAAGGTGTTAGGCTACTTTTACTAAAAAAGGTTTAGGGTTCCGCGCAAAAAAATTAAAACCCATGAAATCCAGTCGTAACAAATGCCACGCGAACGAAGTCACGTGAAACAGCTAGTAATTGAATAAAAATACAGGTTATAGTTGTATAACCTATACAACTAGTATAACCTGTGTTATATATTAGTATTGATGTGGTCACTATAAGATGTTGTTAGGTTTGCTAATTACGTAATAACTTAAGACAGAAGGACCCTTAAGTAGGGACTGAATAAATTAACCGACTTGGTATTACATGGATCTCACAACTTTTTATGGTAGAAGAACTGAGTTGCGTGACTTTGTTTTTCTTAAAAGTTATGTTTTTGATGGCATCTCATTTCTTTTTGTAGATAGTTATATCTACGTACCTACCTACATCTATTATTCCATTATATTATCCATTTATAGGTACACTGATTCATTCACTGCAAATGTAACTTTGTAATCCTATATATTTATATGGGATTACAAAGTTATTTATGCGGTTAGTGTATCTCAAAAACTGGACCGAAACTGCAAAATATTTTAATTTTTCATTGATTTATATACTAAACAATAATTGTATTCCAAATTTGAAGCTTCTAGCTTCTGTGTCTGCTAGAAGTGCCTTAGGGTTTTGATGATCGGTCAGTCAGTGAGTGACAAAATTAAGAAACGTTGACTAGTTATAATTATTAAACTACTGATTCAAATTTAATGTAATTTGAAATATACCGATTTTATACAATGCCTACTTAGTTTCTGAAAATTCAGACTTCTAATCTTATCCACAACAACGTTATAGGGTTTCTAAAATGGCTTGAACTGCTTCGAGAAAAGGATGGTACGGCCGTGCCGGTTTTTTGCTCGAGTTGGCGAGGGCACGGCGGGTATAATACGTTTATCATTAATAATATACTACGAAAGGAACTTCGTTCGATCCGAGTGTTTCACGATACTCACGTATGTTTTCTTTTGTTTAATAAAATATTTAAACTTTTTAATTAAGAAATCTTGTATAGTTCCTGGGAGCATATAACACATTACCGTATTTTCATTGTTGGGATAGTTTCTATCTCTCACTCACATAGTCCAATGCGCAATCCGACACGACGACCAACCAACGGCTTCACGTGCTCTCTGAGCCACGGGGCTGATCACCGCCAACTTGCTAACTACGGGCTGCTACTGGTACTTTTATGGTTTATAATTATTTTAGATATTTACTATTAATATCAGATAAATTGGATAAATCTAGGATTCGAACCCCGGACCTCACGATCAAAAGTCGTATTTACAAACATTAGATCAGTGATATAGTCAAACTGCAGTTAACTACTATTTATAATATTTTTTTTACATACAGATGCGTCGCAATACGCGCATTTCGTGTTCAACGTCGTAAAACACAAGCATGGAGGCAAATTAAGTTTCGAGGTAAGTTTACTTGTGTTACTTGTAAATTGTGATATTCGGCGTTCTGTGAAATGCCTAAATATTTGGGCATACCTAGAAAATAAATAAAAGATACGCAATGTTTTTGCTTAAAATTTAAATTACCTAATTGACTTGTTGGAGAAACAGCTTATAAGACAGACATGCGAGCAGGAATTACATTATTTAATCACTTAGCGGTCAGTCATCGCCGAGTTTATTTCTCCTGATGATGCCTAGTTTAGAGGCGAAATAGGTGTTTCGCGTGTTATCGACGGTGGTTCGTCTTTCCTAGTGTAGTAGTGTTGGAAGTAGTGGTGTTGGGACTAGTGATGATGGAGATAGCACACGCAATTGAGAGAGGGGGAGGTAGGTGCTTTTCAGACTAGGTAAGACACATAATTATTATTTTTTACGCAGATCTTAGATAAATAATTTTAACACTTATTTATTTATTTCCTTCCTCTCCTTTCGATCACCGGACAAATAGACGGTCATCTGGCCCTAATTTTTTTATATAGGATAAGGGTGACAAACGAGCACACAGTCCACCTGATGGTAAGTGGTTGCTGTGGCCCATAGACATCTACATCTCTTCTAGATTACGAATCAAAATGCAGATGCGTTGTCACTCGTGAGGACTTAGATGGAATGTTTCCAGTGAAAAGGGGCTCCGGTTCTCTACACTCACCATACAAAACACAGCAGCGTTAAGTTGCCATTTTACGCTTGTATTCTGAGAGAGCGTGGACCATCCCCGGTCGAGCCGACCCATTCGTGCTACAACTATACTACTAATATAGCTGCAGCATGGCTCTACCACGTTAAACTCTTACCTAATTGTTTTTACATTGTTCAAACATTATTAGTGTTTGTCGTCAATATTCCACGCATTGGAACCAAACAGTTTGCTTCGTCTGATGTATTGCGCACAGCAAAGGAGTGGAATAATTTGCCGGTGTCTTTATTTACATCACTTTAAACATCCTCCAAATAAATGTAGCAATAAAAGTGTACGTTGCGGAACAATTAAGTTCGAAATAACTGTTAAGACTTTATTGGCGAAATTCCAGAACTGTTCCACACAGCGCTCGAATGATGACACTGATAGCTATTTATGCGGCTCTTGGCAAACATAATTTCTAGATAAGCATTATATTACCATTACAGCCTATTAAACTCCACTGCTGAACCTTGATTGTAACATAAGACAGATATTTGCCATAGTTGCCACGCGTGGCAGGCGGGTTCACAACCGCACTTCCCTCTGTCGGCTCTTACGAAAGCTGTAGGACATAATGGGGAAGTGGATATTCTTACAACATGGTTGCAATTTAATTTTCATAATGAAGTGTCATCATTAATTAATTAGCAAGCAATGTGTGCGTGTGGCGGCTGAGAGAATGCACCGCCCGATGTCATGTGGAAGATATCGCAGGAGGCGACGGAGGGAGACTGGAACAGTGTATAAGCAGCGGCAGCTCCCTGATGACGACTCAACATAATTAATTGATAGCGCAGCAAGTTTGGATCGGCTGTTTTGAAGGAATGAATGAATTGTACGATGCACAAGCCAATAAGTATATTGTACCATTTTTATAGATTGTGTGATTTGTGATTATTTAAGTGGAAGCAATCTCGGTCGGGCGCTCGTCGTCTCCTCTCGGGGATTGGATGCTTTACGAAACGTTCTATATTTGAAGTTGATGAGCTGGACAGTTATTCCGAATAATTTAAAGCTGATACTTCTGAAACTGAAATAACATTTAAGAGTTTTTTTTTAATAAAGATGTTCATAATTAACTAGCTGAAAAGCAAAGATCCGCGTAATAAATTAAAATTGTGTGTTTTAGGAGGGGAAGTTAAAAAATTCGGCGAATGGAAGGTGTAGGATAGGGGGTGAAATTAAGCATGGTGTTATTTTTCTTCTCTTGGGCGATCTCCTTCCATCGTAGACCTTATCTTTGCCCTCGGGCTAGATGGAGATCAAGAGTGAGCCCGTTTTAATGAAAAAAGCAACATATTCTCCATTAACCTTTATACACTTCTCAGACCGTTCAAATAACTTATTTCCTCACAATAGCCCTCAAAATAGGCAGAAATTATCCTGTGAAATTTGTAATATGTAAAATAGAATTCTGTATTTTTTTTATAGTATAGGGTGACAAACGGGCGCACAGTTCAACTGATGGTAAGTGGTTGCTGTGGCCCATAGACATCTACATTTATCCTCGATTACGAATCAAAATGCAGATGCGTTGTCACCCGTGAGCACTAAGATGGAATGCCTCGTTTCCAGTAAAAAGGGTCTCCGGTTCCCTACACTCACCATACGAAACACAGCAGCATTAAGCGTCTATTTTACGCTGGTATTCTGTGAGAGCGTGGTCCTTCCCCGGTCGAGCCGACCCATTCGTGTTACAACTATACCAGAAATATAGCTGCAGCATGGCTCTACCACGTATAAAAAATGTTAAATGGAAATCTGTATATTTCTTTCCCCGAAGCTTTTTGACCCGCCCTTTTACATAGTTTGAAGAGCACCTCCCTAGTGAAGGACACCCCACCGTTGATGATTATTTGTTTTGTGTATTATTTTCTATGCGGTTCTTGGCCCATTAATTTTAATATCTTTAATATAATGGATTTCCGCAAAGTTACGCCTGATTCTATTTTGACCTATTTGTTTCGCGCGGGATTCGAATCCGCGGCCTGTATCTCCGTTACCGAATTCTTAACACGTATTGCTGCTGTGTTTCGCTTGGAGTGTGAGGAGAACCGGAGATCCTTTTTACTGGTAATGAGCTATTCCATCCTAGTCTCAGAGGTAAGAACGCATTAGTATTAAAATTAAGTCGTATTGAAAGTCCGGTTATTTACGAGTAGGTTTTCTTTGAAACTCGAAACTCGCCCTTGAAAGATTGGTTTGAGATCAAATAGATACAGAGAAACAAATAAAATATTAATATGGGAACTAATATTACATGAAGTAATATATATTTTATATAAAGGAAATTTTCAATTGTTTTTTTTTTTAATGAAATAATGGTGATATACGAGCACACAGTCCACCTGAATGTAAGTGGATGCTGAGGCCCATAGATACTTGCGTCTAATGGAGATCTAATTTGAAATGCAGCCATCCACGTGGAATGCCTATAAAGTGTCTCCGGTTCTCTGCACTCACCATACGAAACAGCAGCATTAAGCTGTTATTTTATGCGAGAGTATTCTGTGAGAGCGTGGTCCTTCCTCGCTTGGATCGATAGTGCTACAACCACAATATAGTTGCAGCGTGGCTCTACCAAGTATAGTTTAGTCAATTTTGCAACGCATTTAATTTACACCATGTCATTTGCTGTGCAACAACTAGTTTAAACTTTAATAACTACACGAAATAAGTTTACTGAGTTAAGCCCGGCACTAAATTGGATGTGTCGAAGAATTTTAGTTAATGCTTAACACACTGTGACGCCTCATAATTATTATTAATAAATAATAATTAAATTCATTATACAGACATTTAAAAATGTCTTAGAAATTATAATTTAAGCAATAAAATACAAATAATAAGCATAAAGTTCAAAAATATCCATTTGGAATATTGAATATTACGAGTATAATATTAGTAAACGCATAAAATGTCTCTAAAAATCTCTAAATTTATTAAAAACCTGCTTGAAATGTTCAAAATGTATCAAATCATATAAATACAAGGCGATTATATTGCAATAACAAAGATAAATAACATTTGTAATATAATAGAAAAAATGGATTAAAATTTTCTAAGTTGATGAAGGTGTTCGTGTAATAATTGGAAAATTTCTAAGTTAATGAACGTGTTCTTGTAATGTTCTCTTATATTGGGGCGTTGTCGGAGACACATACCCAAGGTTGTACATATATATGGGGTGGTCGGCTGACCGACTGCTAGTACTAAGGTTGCACAATGACTAGTCCTATATTAGGGACTTAACATAGTAAGGCCTGACGAACCAAAGCATTAATATAGAAGGTCTCTATGATGCATAAGCATTATGATAGCAGAGTTATGACTTGAAGTCCCATATGAATAAGACATACAGTAGTATGGTCTATGAAATAAAGCAAATATGTGGAAGGTCTCAAATATGTAAAAGCATTATATTGAAAGAAATGGGACTTGAAAAGGATTATTATAGTGGCGTGTACGTTGCTTCGCAGCCTCTGAGACCGAGGTAAACTTGGACTCACTAACCGATGTGTCCTAGACATACCATCTTAGTGCCGGTGGTAAGCGGGTTTGTTGTAGCAATACGACTTGCCCGTGGACATCGCACACCCCTACCGGTTGTGGGCGGCGTCTTAGCGCATAGCGTTATGATACGTCGGCTATCTTTCGGATTAGGGTGAGTGTGTTTGGTAGTACTTTTAAGTGCAGCAAGCATACTCAACTTCATGTCTTAGTGCAATAGCGCTATGATACGTGGAGTTTTGGCTACTGACGTCTTAGTACCGTACTACTATGATACGTTGGTGGTATTTTTAGTTAACAACATTATCAAATTTTGTTACCAAAGTCGATAGGGATCATGTGGGTGTGTTGTGAGGGGGCGCCATCCGTATGATAGTTGCATTGATGCTTACTGCTACTTGCAGTATTGTGTCTTGTGATGGATCTGCGGGTGTGCTGCACCTGATTCGATGCATCTTGTGGTTCTGGGCGATGGAGGTATGCGGGTGGTGATGTCTGCTGGGACTGTATGGGGGACCTTGGGATGGTGTAAGCCCGACGATAGTCGTATTGATGCTTGTTGCATTCTGTAGCATTGCGTTTCTACGATGGTTGTTTGGCGGGTCGCTATTCTCAATGGCGCTCTCTGCGTCTTGGTTTGACTCACAACCTAAGGAGCTTTGCCCAAGTCGGGTCCCTTCATTGCGGGGCTGCAGACTGTCTGCCCTCCATGATGTTTTATATAACAACTTAATAATATATCTCTATAAAGTTCCCACCTTTGAGAGATTGAAGGCAACTTGTTGGTGGGTGAGACAAACATGATCGAAAAATGCATATACTCAACGTCAGTGACACAAACCCTTTCTGATGGCGA